TTGCAATTGAAATTTGACCAAAAAAAATGTGAAGCTATGGAAACTATTAGAAATAGAGAAACTTTTAGAAAATGACAAAATTTTAATTGGTTATTACGATATAAAATTGGATAATGTGACCAATTCAATTGTTTTTTATTAATCGAATTGTGAATAAATTTATTGTCAATATTATTAATAAAAATAGAATTAATGTTAAGAGATGAAAAAAAGGAAAAATATTATTTACTATAAAAATATTGAACTTAAATTCAAATTGAACTTCATTACCAATTTTTAGCCACAAAATCATATTTTCTAATTTATTTTATTTCTAAAAAATATTTAACAGCATAATGCGGGGAATCACCTATTTTATAGTAAAACTAAAGTAGACTTCTATTGATTACTCTTATTGATTGGCGAGTCCATTGTTTTGTATCTATATTATTTGAATCATCCGACGCGCATATATGTCCCAGAAGCAGACTTATATTTATAGGTAGATAGTGTAGTTGGGTGATTTTGGTCATGGTTGGTAAATAGTACTATACCTTTTTTTGGTCAACACGTCTTTCTTTCATTTCATTCTTAAAGGAGCTAACATCATACAATTTTGCACTGCCTTTTTAGCAAGTGAATCAGCACTGCCTTTCATTGTTTGCTCTAGGCACATGTCGAAACTCTATGAGTGAGAATAATAGAACATAGGCTTTGATGTCTTGAAGAATTCCAAAGATCTCCGTAAATAGTACTACAACATGAACTTCGTTTTTCTTGATTTTTAAAAGATTTATTATCTCAAACTTTTTCATTATTCATTAAGATTATATAAATGAAAAACGAATAAATTCAAAAAAAAAAATCATCTACATGAAAGACAAAGAGTGATAAACACAAAACATTTTTACAACTTCTTAAAACTACATGACTTTGGTCATCGTTTGTTATCGTATTATGAATAAATAAAATATTTTTACAATTATAATTATACCGACAATGACACTTTTTCTGACAATTCAATTATATTATATCATAAGAAAATTACAAAATAAGAAATATTTTCTCGATACAACATTGAACGTAAATAAAAGAAATTGAAAAACAATTTCGATGAAAGAGTAGAGATTAACCAAGCTTTCTTTTCAAAAGTTTTACATCTCCATAGGGGGTCTCTTCCCCATTAAAAGAATCAAAATTAATATAATCATGAGAGACTTCTATTAAAAAATCAAAATTAAAATAAATATAATTTCTTAATAAAATTTGTCTAGGCTAAAGGTATCTCCATAGAGATGCTCTTATAGACTAACAAATAAAT